TTTATGAATGTTATTACTAGCTTCTTATTGTCGTGCCTATCTTTTTGATGAAACTTAAATCACAAAACAGACGAAATGAGGACATTGGTTGGGGTCAGACTGGCTAACATCGAGACCAGTAAAAATTATCCACTATACGGCATATTCTTCACCTCAATAAATGCGAATGTATATATGCCCAAGTCTTGATATATGTCTGGACCTTCCCACAGCAAAGGTGTAGGCGGTTTGAGTTAACAAGTGCTCTGCTTAAAAATGCTAAACTATTTGGAACAGTGGCTATTATATCTGTTGGAGTACATGATCATCATTCAGGTTTGATCATGTACTTTATTGAAAGCACTCTGTGGTGACAATTTTATTATTAAGCCAGCATTTGATAATGGGGGACATAAAAAGGGAATTTTTGTCACGTTACAATGTCCATTGCAATATGAGATCTTCACCTTCTCTGTGAGTCATTACCCGGCTTTTACGTACAGATAATTAGCACTTCCTCACTAATTGATTGCCTCCTTTGCTGTTGTGGAAAGATTATTGGAGTGTCAGCTATGCATGGTGGTGATGGTCCTAGGTGTTTTCCTGATTAGGTGTATCGTTTACAGCATTCCTTTTTAATTTAAAGCATTCCTTTTAACTTTGATAGAAGTCCTAGCACAAGTCTGGGACAACTGATTACCTCCTAATAGTATCGTATGCATTTAAGCTTTTGCTACATTTACAATTTCACCAGAAACTACGTGACTCAGGGAATACTTGATTTGTCATACATACTGGCAGAGGTGTTTCAAAATATGTCATTTCTTTAGTCGTATTTTCATCTTTGGCAAAGACACCTAGTGGTACCTATTATGTGTAGATAAAGTAATATAGGCATGAAATAATTATTACAATGCTAGATTTACGAAACATTTCAGATGTCCTCCTATGAGTGATATGTTTTACAACTAAGTCTGAAAAAATTGCCTTAAGGAATGGAAGAGTATTTACAAGAATATGAAAATACAAAACTTTAATATTATTTCTCGGGCTGGCATCATTATATATTGTAGGAAGTAAAGGTTGTACTCGACTACTTGGTGATGGTAGGCATGTGAGTGGCTTTGCGGTAGGTATGTTGGAAATATTTATTCTATCAAAAACAGCATAGCTATGATAGTAATGAAGAGACTTCACCTAATTACAAGAGCGACGATATTGTGGGTTAACATTCTTATCCACATAATCCCCTATGATTTTTAAAGAGGTAAAATTGAAACTTGGAATATCGGATATATCTTTGCACGACTTGTCTGGCAAATGTTCCACATCCATTTCTTCTACTTCTGCATCACAACTTGAACTTATAATTAGTGAACATGCTGGTGGTATAATGTAATCGTTGTCATCATCCATGAGCTGATGCAAGGAGTCTTCTGACATCCTGTCTTCATCTACCTCTAATGCATCACTTTCATTATTTCCACTGTCACCTCTATCAACTTTGTCAACATGATCGTCATCGTCATTGTCTCTGTCATAATCATTTTTATCATCATTTTCAATTTCATTTTCACTATCACTGGATTTTTATTGTAATCATTCATTTCACCAGTAAAAAATGTGTGTATTGTTTCTTGAGTACCCTAAATCAGTTAGTAATAACAGCATAAAAAAAGGAATTAGCATAGAGCCTATTACTTGTGTTCAATCAGAAAAATTAAAAGTAGCAGTGAAACTTCCTTGCTGTGCCTTTACAAGCTTGTTGTGGCCTTTTCCCAAATCATCAACTAACTTAATTAGAGTTGAACGAGATATGACAATTCCTAATGGACTTAGTCTTGCAAAACCTATAAAATCTATATGTTATGGTATTTTAAATACTTAGATATACCTCTTTGGATGCATGACTTGCATATAATATCAGTGAAATATTCTTTCGTACGAGGTTTAATTCCCGATAGCGAAATTTTAAGAAAATTGATACACAGAAACAAAAAAATGATTGTTTTATTACTTCTATGTGCTCTGGTTTTCAATGCAGACTCTAATATACTTAGTAAAGCAGGTGCTATACTCTGTAACTCTATATGATATCCCAATGAAACTGCTTTAGATCTTCAGATGACTGACTTTTTAAAATTGAGTTGGAGCTGCATTGAGACTTAATTTCTCTTCTGACAATAAATCCTACTTTTGATACAATATGCCCCCTCAGCTTCACATTACTTAATCATTCTTTGGCTGCTTCCAAGTCACAATTGCGACCAAGCAATTAAATTGCCTTTTTACGACTTGGAGTTTCCACATTATAGATACTTCGTCTCTTAGTCCCTTTTCTTCTAACAACCTAATTATTAAAATATTTATTATAATTACAAATCAATGGTCTTACAGCAACAATGCTTTCAGGTGTAGACTAAGTGTTATTATTGTTGCAAAAAGTGTGAGGAAGGTCAGACATTGAGATAGTAGAAGTGCCCGTAGCATGGCTGGATGTAGGGATCGAAGTAGTAGTAAATAGAGGTTAAAGAGACAAAACAGTTGTTGTAGTCGCTGAAGCATTGTTGGCTGTAGTAATCACAAAAGAAAAAGATAGAGGGTGAACAGACAAAATAGGTGATAAAGTACATGTAGCTGTAGCATGGCTGGCTGTAGGAGTCACACGAAAAGATAGAGGTTGCACAGAAGAAGTAGGTGCTGAAGTACAGGTAGCTGTAGTACGGCTGGCTGTAGGGTCACAGGAGAAGAAGATAGAGGGTGAACAAAAGTAGGTGCTGAAGTAGCTGTAGCATAGCTGTCTGTAGATGTAGATGGAGTACTGGAGCAAACAATAAGATATTAGGCTGGCATTGACTAGCCAACCTTCTTTCTTGAAGAATAGAGTCGATACTAGTCTTAATTCTGTCATTCAGAGACTCCAGCACCTTTTCCAACTTTTCTGAGTCATTCAAACATTTGTAACAAACTCTTCCAGCAGTATCATCTTTTAGCATCATGTTTATGTCAAATTTTAAACTGAAGTCATTCACTTTACGTAAGAACAGTGTTTTCACTGAAAATAGATTATATTGTGTTTGACCAAGGAAAAGCCCGCAATAGAAACAGAACATTTTATACAAGTGAAACTAAGTTTATAAACTGTATTAACACATGGACAGCTGCTGTTGAGCTATGAGCAGCTTCACCTAGCCCCATCCGAAACCATTAAGTTTTTTACAAAAACATGATTTGGATTGTTCCTGACCCTCCTCTTTGCAAGGGTCAGGCTCCACCTGACTAGATAGATACATACATAAAAAAGGAGATAGAGGAGTTCTTTTTGCTCTCATAAGTCAGTCTACACACCACAGCCTCTATGTTTCTCAGCTACCTTTGAGATACATGCAGTCAGAATTCTGCTGGTCATTGGTCCTCAAATAACATCAATATGCATTTCAGAGTCCAAGAATATGCCAAACTTTCCTCTCTCTCAGCCTCATCCTGGGTTCCTCTCTTACAAAGCACTGGCTGAGAGTGGCATTAGAAAATCCCTCAAGCTAGTGTATGCAAACCAGAATGAGCATGCCAGAGAGGAGAGACTCTTTTGCGGAACGCATACGAGCTTGACCCTCCTTTTGGTATGAGCAAGGTCACTGAGAGCCTGCATGAGCATAATGACTACCAGAGATGGTTGGATGAAGTTTTTGTGCCATGCAAGGAGTTAAACCTAGAGTTTGAGAGCTCATGTACCCTTTAACACTACTCAGCCTAACGAGGAGAGGTGTCTCACTCCTCTACACACATTACGCCGACACGCTTGTGCAATGGGTCTTCCTGTGGTTGTCCCTGAAGATGAAGTTAGGAAATGAGCTCAAGGATTCCCAGCATGGCTAAACCTTCATAGTGTCCACACATGACCCAGCAGTCTCAAGATTGATTGCATTAGTTATAAGACAGAGGTTGGGTTTGGACGGATGGGGCATATAGTAAGAGAGAAATTCTAGTCCCGTATGCTGTTATTCATTTGGTACGACAGCAGTCATTTTCTTGACCCTTTTCTCTCTAAAACTGTCTCGTTTATTGCAACCATATCTGTAATACCAGCCTTGCTTCCACTTCTCTGAATTAGCCCTCAGTTCCAGACTTCCTCCCAATTTCAGTTGAGCCCAGTACCAGTCTGTGTTCACTTGTAAAGATCTCAAAGACTCATCTTAGCATTGGTGAGTCATCAATGAATTGAAAATGATAATCTTTAAAATGATAATGATGTCTCCAAGTACACTATTGGTTGTATTTTATGACTGATTTTAGCGCTGTTTTAATTTCTCAGAGTAAAATTTTCCCACAATGCAATGAGATTCTAGTTTGATTATTCTGGAATAAAATACTAATTTGCCATTTTGTGTGCATAATTACATTTATTATAAAAAATTTCTTTCAACTAAACAATAATTAGAGATGTGTATATCATATACGGAAAATGAAAGGCTTACTACGTATTTTTTTATAGTGAAAGGCTTACTAAGTATCATTTTATAGTCAGCCTGCTGCAGTATTTAGTGTTTTAGTTCTCATTGTAACTGTGACTCTCTATGTGTGTGTGTGTGTGCACATGTTAATTTGTTCCTCTGGTAACTTATGTCGTCGTTTCACCCATCATCATGTGATGTTTATAACATAGTTTGTTTAGCAAATCTTTACCTGTTGTGAAGGAACGCCTCCGCACTGACTGGATCTACCACAGCTTATGCAAGCCCTGAACACTTGGAACTAATTATAATGTATTGTGGTTGTGGTTTTGATCTCTAATGTTCTGTAAAATATATAATGTACCGATTTTTGTTAAAGAAGAGAGCTCGGTTGAGCATTAAAGAGAATATAATTGTACTACGCAAAGAACTAGTCATTCACAGTTGGTGTCAGAAGTGAGATCATCTGCAGCAGTTACCTGTCAGAGACCCACAAGCCAAGAATCCTAGATGGTGTGTTAAATTCGTATGACAACTAGGTCCGGAAGATCCTACAACAGAGGAAAGAAGATGGAAGCGCTACAGGAGATGCTTAAGGTGATGATGGAAGACCGTAAGAAAAGGGATGAGGAGATCGCCGAGGAGCGTAAACGAAGGAAAGAAGAGTTCGTGGCGGAACGAGAAAGAAGCAAGGAGGATAGTCTGTGTCTAGAGAAAGAGAAAATGGACGCAATGCAAACGCATATGGAGTCATTGATAAAGCTAGTAGAAGCTTCTACAAAAAAGGAAGCTTCACCTCCGAGGGAACTTAGCGTTAAACTGATGCCGCTGTCGGAGAAGGACGATATCGAGTCGTATCTGACGTTCGACCGTATCATGGAGGCTCACAAGATCAAAGAGAAGAGACGGACACAGTTTTTGGCTCCTAATCTCACTGGTAAGGCCCAGCTAGCTTTTACCGCTTTACCAGCAGAGGAGGCAGCCAAGTACAAGGAGTTGAAGCGGGTGCTGCTTACCCGCTACAATATCAGTGAGGAGACTTACAGAAGACGGTTCAGGTTGGATGGCCGTAAGAAAGAAGGAAGCAACCGTGAACTGGCAGTTCGACTCATGGACTGGCAAGTAAAATGGCTAAAGGAGTGTAAGAAGGTCAAGGACGTCATGGAACTGGTGGAAATCGAGCAGTTTCTGAACTTACTACCGACGGAGAAGAGGCTATGGGTGGCTGAGAGGAAACCCAAGTCATGCATACAAGCAGGAGAGCTTGCTGACGAATATGAGCAGGCTATAAGGAAAGACACTCCATTTCAACAGAAGAGTACTAAGAAGCATGGAGTGAAATGTCAATACTGTGCTAAAATAGGGCACTTAGAGAAGGAGTGTAGAAAGAAGTTGGCAGATGCAAAGGAGAAGATCTGTTTTCATTGTAGAAAGCCTGGACAACTTACATCCCATTGCCTTGAGAAGACAGGAGCAGGCTCAGCGATGATGGGTCGGGAGTCTAGCAAGGGATTACGCAGGAGTGGCTCAATTAATGGTAAAGCGATTCAAATACTGCTCGACACCGGTTGTTCCAGAACAATGGTACCCAGTTCATTAGTTCCACAGCAATGGATGCTTGAAGGAGAAGCAGTGACTATACACTGTGCGCATGGAGACACCATACTCTACCCACTGGCTCAGGCACACCTGAGTATAGGAGAGAAGTCAATTACTGTTAAGGCAGCTGTATCTGATACTCTACAAGTAGCAGTGTTGCTGGGAACAGATGTGAAGGAGCTGTCTGAGCTGTTAGGACAGGAAGTGACATTGGATGACTGTACTGACGATGCAATGGTGGTGCAGACTCGAGCAGGAAGGCAAAGATGAATGGAAGAGAGACTGGCTAGGGAACGTGAAGTGTTATCAGAAGTGACCCCAACACCTTTGGTGTTGGAGGAAACACCTAATGCACAAAGTATAAACACTCCTATGCATACACCCCCTGCACACATGACTCATACTACTATGCATACACCTACAAAGCTAACAAAGAGACAACAGAGACAAGTCAATCAGTCTGCTGCTCATCAAGGAATACCTGTTCATTCGCTGGATCTCACTACACAGGAGTTCCAGCAGCTTCAAGAGAAGTATTCGTCATTGGAAGCAGTCAGAGCTGCAGCTGATGGACGTGTGAGCAGAGCTGGACCTGGGTTCTTTAGGAAGGATGGACTTGTGTACCAACACTGGAAACCTCCTGGAAGAGGAGAAGAGTCTGAAGTGGAGCAGCTAGTAGTACCAAGAGAATGCAGGAGGATGGTGTTACAGCTGGCTCATGAAATCCCTTAGCAGGACATCTTGGGAAAGAGAAGACTCGCCGACGCATTCTCCATTATGTCTACTGGTCTGCACTGTTTCGGGATGTGGAGCAGTTTTGTAGAGCATGTCCAATCTGCCAGAAGTCATAAACAGGAGTCAAGAAAGCACCTTATACCTCTACCTATTATTGAGGAACTGTTCTCTAGAGTGACAATGGATATTGTGGGCCCATTCCATAAGAGTAGAGCTGGTTTCAAGTATGTCCTTGTCCTCTGTGACTATGCTACAAGGTACCCGGAGGCTGTTCCACTGAAAAGCATTGATGCAGAACATGTAGCAGAGGAACTCATCAAGACATTTTTAAGAATGGGTATACCCCAAAAGATTCTTACAGACCAAGGGAGCAATTTCACTTATCAGTTGCTAGCAGAGCTGTACCGATTGCTACATGTTAAAGCGATTCGAACTAGCCCATATCACCCACAGACAGCTTGTCTTGTCGAGCGATTTAATCAGACACTCAAGTCCATGCTTCGTAAGACCCCTGACAAGGAAGGGAAAGACTGGGACAAGTATATACCTTATCCACTGTTTGCCTATAGGGAGGTACCTCAATCATCCACAGGGATTTCCCCTTTTGACTGTTGTTTGGGAGAGATGTACGGGGACCACTGGATGTGTTAAGTGAAACTTAGCAAGCTCAGGAGAAGAGTAATGATAGTGTGGTGAGCTACGTGTTGTCAGCCAGAGAGAGATTGCAGGAGATGTCAGAATTGGTGAAGGTCTCAATGGAGAAAGCTAAGGATGGCCAGAAGAAATGGTATGACAAGGATGCTAGACTGAAAGTGTTTGAGACTGGAGATGAGGTACTGGTATTACTACCCACCTCTCAGGACAAGCTCCTAGCTTAGTTGCATGGGCCATATCAGATTGGTAAGAGAAATGAAAGGGTGACCTATCTAGTGGACATGCATGACAAGAAGAAAAGAAGAAGGATCTTCCATGTCAATATGTTAAAAAAATACTACTGTTTTAATTTCATAAGTAAAGTTTAATCTTTTTAATAACCATTTAATTGTATAATCATTCCTTTGGAAGTGTGCCTACTCAGTCCAGTTGATAACTACTGCTCCCTTTTTCCTCAAACCAACAGCATTATGACTTATAGCATTGACACATTTCATCCAGATTGGTTCAAATTCGATTGAAGTATCAACATAGATGCATGAGAGATAAACTAAGGATCTTTTTCTTAAGGGCCCTAACTTTGTCCTTTGCTAATAAAGTATTACTTTGCTGTCCAGAGACTGTAGATTTTGTAGTATTTCCTTTCCAAAGTATGCCTTAGAAGCAAGCTTAACAGCTATTTGTCCTACCTATGAAATATTTCTATATTTAGGGTATTTCTCAATCACCTCATCTGGGTCAAGTAAATCGTTCACTTTTGGCTGTGACTTGTTGGGTGTAATATTAGGCTCAGATCTTTGATTAAAGATTGATGGAGGTAGTGGGGGTTGGTTTGTAGCAAGAGGTGGCAAAGGGAGAGATACTGGGTGTGAGATATTGTATACTTTGTGTGATTATTATTCATGCATTGCCAGTAATTGATATGATTAAATATTCATGATTCTGTGTACTATAAATAGTGTCATTTTTGTAAGGAGCGATACAGAGTAATTATATTATTTGAAAAGAGAAACTTGACTGTGAATTGTTTATCGTGAACGAGCCAGCTGAAGGGACGAA